GGGGGGGGGGGGCTGGGGGTTTCCTGCAGGGAGACCCAGCCCCAAGAAGAGGGGTCTTCCTGCTAGGCCTGAAAAGCAGGACCCCCCCCCAACAACCTCAGAATAAAAAAAGTCTAGCCAGAAAGGGACAGAGAAACCAGTGGGATCTCCTTCAGCGACCACTAAGAAGGTCCTCTGAGCATGAGCAGAGTGCTCCCAGCCAGGGAGGACCCTCCCCCCTTGCCCCTCCCCTGCCCTTCCTCCTGGGGCACCTGGCCAGAGTCGCCCCTGCTGGGCAGAAAGCCCCCTTCGGGATGGAGTTGGCGGAAGCTCGAAATCTTCCCGGGCAGGAGGGCAGTGAGGCCGAGCCCCTTTGCCCGGGACTGCGCTGCCGGGCGGTCCTCGGGGAGGTTGCGGAGCCCAGTTCTTGCAGCGCGGAGGGGAAGAAGCCGCCGCTCGGGATTCGCCGGGACCTCCTGGAGTCCCCGCCCGGTGCGCGGCGCTCCCTGCTGGAAGGCGCGGCCGGGCCGGGCTCCCCTCCCTCGGGCTGCCGAGGGCGCGCGCTCAAGGCCGGCGGGTCCAGGGTGCAGGTGCCGGAGATCCGCGCCCCGCAGCCAGCGGGCGTGGCCAGGCAAAGTTGGCTTCTCGCCTTCCAGCTGCCGCCCAGCGCCGCAGTCGCCGCCGCCGCCGCGCTCCGACGGATCGCCCATGCAGCTGCCGCCGGTGCCTCCCCACCGTCCCCGAGCCCGCCGACGGCGGCCGCTGCGGGCCTTGGAGTGCGTGTTGCTGGGCGACGGCGCGGTGGGCAAGACCAGCCTGGCGCTCAGCTACAGCACCAACGGCTTTCCCACGCGCTACGTGCCCACGGCCCTCGACCGCTTCTCCGGTACCGACCGCCACGGGGAGGGCGCGGCCCTAGGCCGGCGCCGCGTGCGCAGGCTGACGGGGGTGGGGGAGGGCGGGTGCAAAGTCCCCCGCGGGAGGCCCGGACAGGAGGTCGGCGGGTCGCCCCTCCTTCCCCCTCCCCCCTCGGTCTGCCGGCTAACCGGAGCGCATGTTGTGTTTCCCCAGCTGTGGTCCAGGTGGACGACGCCCCCATCCGTCTCCAGCTGTGCGACACGGCCGGGCAGGTAAGGGCTTGTCTGGAGCCCCGGAAGGCGGCGCCTGGCAAGCGGGACGGGCGGCCCTCCGGCCGGGAATTCAACCCACCGCGCGCGGCGTTGTTTTTGCGGCCGGAATCGCTGGCCTTGGGCTCGAGGCGTCTCGCAAAAGTGGATCTCCACTTTTGGAGTCCTTTGGAAGCGAGCGGCGCTCAGTCACAGGAGAGCCTCCCCCGGGTGGAATCCCCAATGGAGAGTCCTGCTCTCTTTGGGCCCCACTCCGGAGAAATGGGGGGGGGGCTTCACTGGCCTCCACCTTCTTTTCACCCCCCAGGACACTCTGCACACTCCCAATCCCTATGAGGGTTTATGACATCATTTATGCAATGAGCAGGTGGAATTCTGCTGCGGAAGAGGCTGGTCAGGGGGTGGGGTGGGGGGGCTTTGAGGGCCTCCTGTCCAAGCTGTGATGCTGGTGTTGCATCCCAACCGAACTTTGGCCAGGTTTCCTGTCTGCTTTGCCTGCAGCCTCTGTTTGCAAAGGCCCTGGGTGGGGGTGGGGGCAGCTCTAGGAGGGAGTCTCTCCTCACACTGTGCCCTTCCCGCTCTGCTGGCAGGAGGGATTTGACGCCTTGTGGCAGGCCTGCTGCCCGAAGGCCGACATCTGCTTGCTCTGCTTCAGTGTGGTGGCTCCCACCTCCTTCCGGAACATTGTGGACAAGTGGCATCCGGAGGTGTGTCGCCACTGCCCTTCCACCCCGGTGCTGCTGGTGGGGACCCAGGCAGACCTGCGCCAGGACGTCAAGGTGCTGATTGCCCTCTCCCAGCGCCAGGAGAAGCCGGTGCCTCCTACAGCCGGCCGCTCTCTGGCCAGGAAGCTGGGCATGGCTGGCTACGTGGAGTGCTCGGCCCTCACCCAACAGAATCTGAAGGAAGTCTTTGACACCGCTATTGTGTTGGGGCTGCGGGCCGGTGAGGGCCCCAAGGGGCAGAGGGCCCCCCCCAGCTGCATCTGGGCCCTCTCCAAAGACTGGTGGAACAAATACGTTTGTGTGCGGTAGCCTTGGGGACAGCATCCTGCGCCCCCCGCCCCAGGGATGGGGCCTGGCGCTGGCATCCTTCATGAACTGGTCCATTCTGGTGCACTGCTCCTGGGTCGGGGGCCCAGAAGCCCAGGGCTGTGCCCTCCCTGAAGCATAATGCCTCTCCCTGCCTGCCGTCTGTGGCAAAAGCCTCAAGCGGGGGAGGGCTGCCTTTGCAGGACAGGACTCACCAGGGTTCTTTCCAAGTGCCGAGGGAAGGACAGATTCTCTCTTGCTGAGCACAACAAAGGGGAAAAAAACAGCCCTTCAACGGTCCTTCAAGGGCAGAACAGACCGGAGCACCTGCCATCGTCAACATCCCAAATGGTGGTGCAAAGCTTTGATCGAGGAGTTGATTTTATTGTAAACAGAAATGCATAATCCAATAGTTTGATTTTGAGAAGTGAAATGACATGCTTTAAAAAATATGGTTAACAAAATGCTTCAGAGAAGAGTGTTGACTGGATTTTTTTTTTATAAATCACATGTGTTGCTAATCCCAGCCTCTCTTTATCCTCCTGGTCTTCCAACTTTAGTCGCTGCAGCCCCACAGATTGACAGGAGTGCCCAGTGTCAGCTGATCACCCTGCCCAAATATTTGTTTGGAAGTAGGTTTGAGCTGGTGTGTTTGCGTTCCCCTAGTCTTTCTGCACTCAATATTTTTTCCTTCTGCATTTTCTTTGCAACCACATTATGTTTAAATGTATTTTCCCCTAAAGAGAGTATTTGGGACACTCTTCCTTGAACCCCCAGGTGTAGGTATTCTGTGAGAAGGACAAGGTCCTTGGTGCTCTCTGAGCCTGCTTGTTTTCTTGCAGACATTTCATTATTCAAACCAGGTAACGTCATCATCGTCAGTGCTAGTAAAGAAGAGCTTTCTGCACATAGCAGAAGCACTGAAAAATTACCTCTGTGGCCTGGGGAGCATCGGGCGCTTTGCAAGGTGTAATGGGGTTTGTGAGGTTAATATTAACTGGAGCAGTGGTTGGAATAAAGCTTTGCTGATATGAGGAAGTCTATATCTCAGCAGCAGTTCAACCTCCCTCCTGCCACCTGTTGTCAATCCAGGCTCTTTCCGGGCAACCTGCTTCTTCTTCCCCCAGTCCTGAAAACTGCCCAACTCAGAAAGCGTGACTCACACATTGACTTGCTCAAGATAAAGAATGCCAGATTAGGAAGAGAGGGAGGGGAGACATCCAGGCTCAGCTGGCCCTTCTTGACAGTTTAGTAGCTTGAGATGCCAAGAGGAAGGTGTATTGTTAAATGGGGGTGGGGGGCTTAGGGTTCACTTACTGGAATTTCATCCCTTGAGGTCTCAAGCTTTGCTGGTGGTCTGAGGAGGTGGGGAGGTCATATGAACCCCTAAATGCCCTCTGGGCTCTCTGAACCGCCACCTCTCCCTGCCTGCTCCAGGACTCAGGAGGAGGAAGTGCTCTGCTGTGTCTTGCCCCATAGCGCTTGCTGGGCACGGCTGTTTCCCTGGCAGGGACAGGGTGTTCCTGCCAAGAGCAGCTTGTCTCTTCTGCCAGCCTCCCGGAACGGGCTTGCAGGAGCCTGTGGGGCTGGAGAAAGGCTCAGTGAGGTGCTCGCAGCAGGCTGGGATGCTGGGGAATAATATTCTACCAGGCCAAGACGGGCTGTCCATTGTCAGATCAGCCCTTTGTGGCTTGACCTCGGCTCCTCCGTTGCCCAGATCTCCTGGCCCAGCCTCCCACCTGGGTGTCGAGGGTACACGAGAGCACAGCGATCGCTGGAGCAAAAGGGGGGGGGGTCACACTGGGATATGGATCAAACGTGAAGGCAGAGGGGGGCCTCGGCGGGAGGGAGGAGACGGACAGCCGCCTAGGGGGAACCGCTTGCATCTGAAGGCTTAGGGCCAGGCTACGTTCCGACGACCAGGTGGAAAAAGGGAGACAACTCCGCACCACTTGGACCCTAGAAGAAAGGCAGCCGAGCGCCCTTCTGGCTGAGAACCAGCCGTGATGTCTCGCGGGAGCCCCCGCATAACGCGTTCCAGCTATTTGCCTGAATAAAGGCAAAAAGGAAGACACAACCCTCCACCAGCCCTACCGGGCGCTCTGGGCTCACTTCCGCCGCGCTGCCCCTTTTATACCATCCGTCCGACTAGCGTTCCTCTGATTGGCGGCACGGCCCGAGCCCCCTCTCTCATTGGCTCGGCCGCTGAAGTCATCTCCCCGCGACGGCCGTCTCGACCGGCTCCCTGGGCGCCGCCATATTGCGCGTCGAGGCCGGCGGGCGGGCGGAGGAGAGGGCCAGGGCCGCCCCGTCGCCCGCCATGTCGGAGACCTACGGTTAGTGGGCGACGGGGGCCCGGCGGGATCGGGGGGGGGATCGCGCCGGGGCGGCGGGGGCCTCTGCAAGGACTGCCTCCCGTCTCTCTGTCTCCCCCGCAGACTTCCTCTTCAAGTTCCTGGTCATCGGCAGCGCCGGCACCGGAAAGTCCTGCCTGCTGCACCACTTCATCGAGAGCAAGTGTGAGTCCCATGGGGGGGGGGGCGCACCGGGGGGAGGGCTGGGCCCGTGGCGGCGTTCGGGGCTGCGGCCGGGGCTGCCCGATCGGAGCCCCCGGGCGGCTGCGGCTCGGCCCATCCGGCGGGACGGCTCAGCCGCTCTCTGCGCCGTCCCCGGGCTGACCCGCCGCCCTCTCGCCCCTCTCGGCGCCCGGCAGTTAAGCAGGACTCCAACCACACCATCGGGGTGGAATTCGGGTCGAAGGTGGTGGCCGTCGCGGGCAAAACGGTGAAGCTGCAGATCTGGGACACGGCCGGGCAGGAGCGGTTCAGGTCAGCGGCAGGGCCGAGGCTGGGGACGGGGGTGCGGCCGTCGGGGGTCTTTGGCGAGGGCAGCCCCCTCCTCCCAGTCACTGGGAAGGCGCTTTGGGGAGAGCGGGAACCTCCCTGTGGGACTCGTCCCTGTGAGCAGCCTGGATGCGGCCCAACTGGGGAGGCCGCCTGGAGGGATCTTTAAAGGGTTTGGAGTTTTGATCTGCAGTCCCAGGATATTGATGGATTTTCGGGAGAGCCTGGACTGCAAGGCTTGCATTGGTTCACCCCCAGCTTGCAAGATCAGCCACCTGCTGAATTTCCTGGTTGATATTATTCTTTTCATACGTCAGTTGTTAACCTTCTGTTTTTGAAAAGACGTCAAGGACGTATTGGGGCTGGGGGCTGGGTGGGAGGTTCCTTCCCGATTAAGACTTGTTTGTACAAGGCTTCAGATGCCATTCCAGTTTTTCAAAGTCTTCTCTGAAACAAAGAAGGCTTTGTCTGCAAGTTTGGATCCAAACCTGTCCCACCTGTTGGCCTGGAGAAGGCTCCGTGGCTCCCAGAAGGTTCCAGGGTAATAATCGTGGCTCTAAGGGCAGAATGCGGCATCTAGGAACCACTTAGGAATAAGGTTCAAGTTGGACGAGTGCCCTTTCCATAGCTTGCGTTACACCCAGTCTGTAACAGCTGCGTCGAGCCTTCCTTGCTTTCTCTCTAGGTCTGTTACTAGAAGCTACTACAGGGGTGCAGCCGGGGCGCTTTTGGTGTATGACATCACGAGGTGAGTATGTTGCACCCCCATCTCTTTCCTTTCAGCAATAGGAATTCCTGGGAAGGGGCCGTTTCTGCTGCGGCTCTTCACAGGCTTTTCATTGTAGAAGCAAAGCTGCGATGCTGTTTCTTAGCAGAATTTGGGGTGCAGGGAAGAGGACACACAGACTGGCTGTGGGGAGGGGTCAGTTACCCGTAGGCCAGCAGGGGGATTTGGGGGAGGAATCCGGCGGAGAAATCTGTTTCTTTTCCCTCTTTGGGACAAAGCTGCATTTTCTTGTCCGGCATTCAATCTGTCGATTCCGTCTTGCAGCAGAGAGACCTACAACGCCTTGACCAATTGGCTAGCCGATGCCCGGACTCTGGCCAGCCTCAACATTGTCATTATTCTATGCGGCAACAAGAAGGATTTGGATGCTGACCGGGAAGTCACTTTTTTGGAAGCTTCTCGTTTTGCTCAAGAGAATGGTAATGCGGGGGGGGAGAGGGAGGGGGGGCTGGAGGGAGCTCAGCCCCTGAAGCTTTGCTCTCCCTGGGAGCACCTCAGTGCCACTGGGTTGAGTGGGGAGCAGTTGCTCTCGGCTTCCTTCCTGGGCCACCCATGCGGTTGACCTGTTGGACCAGAGCAGGGAGAGGCAGCCATGGGGAGCTGCTGCTGAGACGCTTTGGGCTGGAGGAGCAGCCACCTCGGGTCAACTGCCGGGCTGTTTGTCCCAGCATCCGTCTCTCCTTGAGGGCTCGGAGCTTGGGGAAACCACGGGAGGCCTGGCCTTGATCTCCAATAAGCCCCCTCTGCATCGCTTGGTTTGGGTTTCTGTCCTGGGGTGCACGAAGACTCCCCCCACCCTTCCATTGCTTTAGCCCTGCTGGGTCCAGAACCTGCATTGAAGTCTTAATCGGGGCCTCTCCTCCTCCTCCTCCTCCCCTGGCAGAGCTGATGTTCCTGGAGACCAGTGCCTTGACTGGAGAGAATGTAGAAGAAGCTTTCCTGAAATGTGCACGGACCATCCTGAATAAAATCGAATCAGGTGTGTCATTTATTTTTTTAGCATATTTGTGAACTTCTGAAGGACGCTGGATGGTGTGTGGCTATGGAAACTGTTGTGCAGTCAGCCGTACAAATCTTTTGGTTAATTCCCTCAGTCGCCTGGGCCAGAGGCTTAGTGGTTAGGGTCAAAACGGCTTTGAACTGTTTGAAATTGGGGGTGCCCTGGGACCTGCCCAAACTCTCTCTGGATAAGCTGACTCACCTGGCAAAGAGGACCGACTGTTCTGGGGGACTGTGGCCAAACCTAGTGGTACCTGACTGTCTCTTCCCCGGCCAGGTGAGCTCGACCCAGAGAGGATGGGCTCCGGTATCCAGTACGGGGATACGTCCTTGCGGCAGCTGCGGCAGCCCCGGAGCAGCCAGGCACAGGCGCGGCAGCAGTGCACCTGCTAGGGCCCAGGCCCCCACCGGCTTGCAAGGTGAGCGAGGAGCTGCTCCCCAGGGACTCTGCCATTCGGGGCCCTCCGTCTGCTGCACCTCCGGCGGACTGGCTTTAGCCCCCCCTGCATCGGAGCCACAGGCAAGAAGCCACCTTCGAGTGGAATGGAGAGCATTGGTAAACAAATCTCCAGGCCGCTATGTGGTCAGGAGGTTTTGGCCACAAGTCCAGCCCCCAGGGGGAGGTGTGAAGGCCTGGTGCCATTGCAGGGCCCCCCACCCCAAACTCCTCCTCTTTCCCCAGTGCTGGAACTCCGCTGCTCTGGACCCAGGGCTCCATGAAGCCTCCTCTTCTGTTGGGCCTCGTGGGCTGAAGACCCCACCGCACCCCCTGCTGTGGCTGCCACGGCCACTGCTGCTTCCTCCCCCTTGCCTCGCCTCCTGTCCTAAGGGCAAGAAGGGGGGCGCGTTCGGCTATCAGATTTCCTAGCAGAAGGTTTGCACGAGTAGCTGAGGCCCCCGCATCCCTCCCCTCGCACACTGCTGCTCCCCAAAGGTATTTGTGTGGGGGTGCCCCTGGAGGGCATGGGGCCTTCTTGGTCCCTCTGATTGGCCAGGAGTGTTGGTGTTCCTCCCGAGATGCACTACTTTCCCTCTTTCTTCCTTCGCTCCGCAAGACCTTGAACTCTTTCACAGTGCACTGAGTCTCAACCTGCTTTGAGAAGTGGTGGCGGGGGGAGGTTTGGGGGCTGGTGGGAGCACAGTTATGCGGGTGGAAACTCTGGTGGTCCCGGCCGAGTGCCCCTCCCCTCAGGTTCGCTTGTGCAGGTGGCCTTTCCAGGCGTTTGGCTTCCCAGGCCCCTCTTATGCTCGGCCTCTGCCTGCAGCCCCCGCTTTTCCTGGGGCTGCAGAGGCTGGGCCAGGCCAGGCCAGTGGGGTTTTTTTTGTGCACTGTTGATGGAGCGAGAAATGCTCCCTTCGGGCAATTTCTTTGAGCTCTTTCCTGGGTGATTTACTCTGGGCTGAGTCTACAACAAGGAAGCCAGAGTGCTGGCGGAAAAATCCCTCTTCCCTGCTGGTGGAGGAAGCTGTGGGGCTATTGCCCCCCCCCCCGCCTCCTGTTTGGGTGAGCTTGGATTCCGGCCTCCTCTCAAGTGTTGCAAGACGTCCGGAGCTCCGGAGCCTTTGAGCGGCAAACGTCCCACGCTTGGCAAAGCAGCCCTGCCTTCCAGAGAGCCCAGCCTGAATTTTGTCATAAGGAGTTGGGGGGAAGCCTACCAGGTTATGGAATTGCCCCCAGTCCCTCCCTCCCTCCCGTGGCCAGTGTTCCCAGACTTGCTGTGCGTGGTCCCTCTGCCCCGCCTGGGTCCTGCAGAGGAAGGGGGGGGGATCTCTTGAGAGGCACCAGCTCTGAGGATTCCCCCTCCCCCCATTACAATAGTCTCTCTGGCACTGCCTGCCCCTCTCCCTCCCGCCCCCTTTCTCCAGTGGGCCAGGAGCTGCCTCCCTGTGTGTTGACCCACATGTGCATGGGTCCTCGGGGGTCTGGTTTTTGGCAGCCGTCCAGAATGAGGCCTGGGTCCAGATGGTGGGCTTGGAGGAGTTTGCTGGGCCAGACGTCCTCCTGGTTGACTGAGCGAGGAAGGAAGGAAGGTGGAATCGCAGGGTTGAGCTGGCAGTTCCTACGAGCAATTCCTTCCGGCCATGGATGGTTGCCCCCCTTGCAGGAAGAGGCGGTGCTCTGAGTTGGGGGCTTCCTCCCCTCCCAGTTTTATAACCACCTGATGGGAAGATGGGGAGCTGGAAGTGGGGTCTGCTTCTGTTTTCCACCAGGGTGTAGGAATCTCTGTTGCCGCCACTTGTGTGCTGGGAAGGTTTCGCTTCCTCTCCTGAGCAAGAAAGGAAGGTGAAACCGGGGGGGGGGGGGGCTTGGATCTTATTTTTAAGTGTTGTGTTTCTCTCTGTTATTTATTCTCCCGTGTGAAGGGCAGGAAGGGGCTGGCTTTGCAGGTGGGGTCCCTGCCCTCCTTTGCCCGGCTCGGCTTCATTCGCTTCAGCTTTGAAGGAGGAGGAGGGGGACTCCCTTCCATCCAGAGTGGGACAGCTGACAGTTATACGCAGTTTAAAAAAATCTTCCGGTTTATTTTATTTTTTCTATGAACGCAAACATTCCCTCCAACTTTGAGGCTGTGAAATTGCTGCTCATACATAAAACGTTTTCCCCCCTTTTACAAATGCCAGAATTGTGATGCCTTTTTTCCTTTCGAAGCAATATGTGTGTATGGTAGCTGAGCCGAAGGGCCGAAGGAAAGGGCTCCAGGAGAGGGCAGGCGGCCGGTGGGGTCGAGATCAGCGCTGCTTGTGGGGGAAGAAGCGACGAGGCTGCCGTGGTTTATAACCGCGGTTGACCTGTTTTGGGAATCTCACCCGCAGGGCCCCCAGCTAACCCATCATCCCCGCCAAGAGTGAAGCCGGGCCGGGCCTTGGGAAGGAGCTGCTCTCCTGAGCAGAGGTCTCCATCCAGGGCAGTTCGGAGCCTTGTGGACTTCAGCTCCCAGAATTCTTCTGCATCCCCATTGGGCCCTCTGGTGGCTGGAGCCGTTTCCCCCATGATTTCTGCAACCTTCTTTTAGAACCGTCCTCAGCTGGGAAGTGCGGAAAATCCTCCCTCGCTTCTCCACCCAAAAAGCTGATTTGCTCCCTCCTTTGCTTGACGTGGGCGATGGATCTTTCCCTCTCACGGATCTTTCCCTCTCATGGACAGCTTAGGCTTGGTGGCCATACAGCTGTTTGCCAAATGTCCCTGCTTGTGTGGCAGTCATTTTTTTAATTTTTCCAAAGAGACCTGAATCCCCAACCTGTCACCCCCAGATGGGGAGAGGAGTGAGCCCTGCCGTTTGCCTCAGGGAGGGGAAGAACTCCTGGGAGGGAGGCAAAAGAACCCCAAGGGGGAAACAGGCATTTTTCACGGCCCTTTTCATTTTTTCAAAGGAGAATCGTCAGGACTCTCTTATTCTCAGAAGCTGATCCTGTCCTTTATGATAGGGAGGGAGGGAGGGATAAGGAAGCAGCCGATCCTCACTGAAGACAAATTCTGTAGCCCTTTAATAACAAATCAGCAGGGTGACAAGAAGCCGTCAACTCAGAACATATATGCAGTAACGGTATCAAGGAATGACCCTCTAGTACTTTAACTCAGACTGAATCCTTACTGGAGATCTCCAGGATTTACATGCTTTGTCACATTTTTTGCCTGTAACTGAACAGAAATTAGAAAAGACAAATAGGGAAACGTTATCAGAAAATAAAGAGCAACAATTAAAAGACAAGTTTCCCAGTTAATCCATGGGGCGCCTCTTCTGAAATGAAAGTTCTTATCTCCTCCTCCAAATCTACAGGTCAAGTGGGTGGCAGGGACCCACCAAGAGCTTCCAGGAAGGAGCCTCTCTTGGCCACACGTGACTCTCACTCGCTGCGATCTGAAAGTGAAGGTGCCTCTTAGCTCAGCTCCCAAAAACGGACAACCCCCCCCTGATGTGTTTTCAATTCAGAGGAAGGGGTGGGGGGCTGCACCAGTGGTTTGCCACGCACAGGGAGAGCTCTAGAAAGAAAGCAGGGAAGAAAATGACCCCTTGGGTTCCCTTGCAGCATGTGGGGAAAGGGGGAGACCGAACCCCCCTGCCAGAATTCAACACCCCCCCTTTCAATAATTGGATTTTCCAACCTTTGGGGGAATCGAGGGAAAGAATTCCGGGGAGGAGGCAACCGATGGTTTCTATGGGGATGGCCTGCGCGGCTTCCTTGCTGGCGCCCCCTTAGGAAGGGTTGAGTTCTTTTACCTTCCCTGCTTGATGGCGGGACCACCCAGGAGCCCCCCACTCCCTCCCTCAGGCGAAACTTTGCTCACCGGCTGTGCCGGAAGCCTCTGGTGGCTGACCCAAGCTGACCACGTTTGCCTCCCTTGGCCGTGTATGTGTGTGTGTGTGTGAGAGAGAGAGGGAGGGAGGGAGGGAGGGAGGGAGGGAGAGAGGAACATTTTGTTCAACCTGGGGGAACAGCTCCTCCTCCGAAAACCTTCGGGCCGGAGGGGGACGCTGGCGAGGTGCGGCGTTCAGGGAGCGTTTGGCCGGATCGAGTCGGGAGAATTAATGGGGCTGCACCCCTGCCTCGCCCCCACCGCCTCGGGCCCCGACCTGAGCTGGCTGGAGAGGCGCCGGGTCTTCGGCTTTCTGCGCTGCAGAAGAGGCTCCCTCCGGCCCTGAGGAGCTCCTCGAGCAGCCCGGCTCACGCCGCCGCTTGAAAAGCTGCTTCGGCACGAAAGCCAAGCCCCGCGCGAGCAGGAAAGAGCAGCCGCCACCGGCGCCCCGAGCCACCGCCGCGCGCTCCCTTTGCGCTCCCTCGGCTCGGAGAGGCGAGCGCTGGTCCCGTGTGGCGGCATTAGGGGCGGCTCGTTCCCGGGGCTCGCGCGAGGCTGCCCGGGGGGCGCTTGGCCAGAGCCCGGCAGGACAGGCGGCGGCTCCTGCGCAGGTGAGAAGAGCCTGGTGCGCGCTAGGACGAGCCTCTTTCCGAGCAGAGCGCGGCGAAGGGGTCGGCCGAGACCGCCGCCAGCCGGGCCGGGGCTCCGGCGGAGGGCAGCCCTGAGCCGGAGACACCCTGCCGCCGAGTCCGCAGGCGCCCACGCCAAAGGCCAAGTTGCGCCTCAGTTGCTTCCCCGGGATTTGGTCGCGCCGGGTGACCCGGTTTGCCCCCGGACAGCGGCCCGCCCCGCCCCGCCGGGATCTCCCGCTGCCCTCCCCCGGCTATTCGCCGTTTGTGGGATCGCGGCCCCGCCAGCCTCTGCCGCAGGCCAGGGATGATGGGATGATGGGAGCTGTGACCGGGGCCCTGACCTGGGATGCCTGGCGCGGGAGGGGCTGTCTCCGCGCGCTAGTCCCGTGCTGATCCCTCCTCCCCCCCAATCTCCCCGCGCTCCGTTCCTTCCCGGGGCTGGGGCTGGGGCTGGGTGGGCGTTGGGAGCGCTGTGTCCGCCCAGGGCCGTTGCGCGCTCACCCCCTGCTCTCCCTCTCCCTCCCGCAGGCAACCGGGACCTCGGGGGGCCTCGCGGGGCAGCCCTGGCGCTTGCAAGATGCTGCCGGCCCGCGCCGAGCGCCGCCCGCCGCTGAGATGGACGCCTCCCTCCCGGAGGGCCCTGCCGTAGGGCTGCCTGAGGGCCAAGGCAGGCAGGCGCCGGCGGGCCGCGCGGAGGGCAAAGTGGTCTCCGTCCGCGGCCTCCTCTGGCTGGCCCTGACCCGGGAGTCGAAGCGGCCCAGGCCGGAGGCGCGGCGCTGGGAGGCGGAGCGCGCGGCCGAGCGGCGGCGGCAGCAGCGGGGAGAGCCCCCCGGCCGGCTGGCTTGCGACTACGTGGTGCCCTGCCTGGCCCGCTACGGCCTCTGCGTGAAGGACGCCTTCCTCGGGGAAGCGCTGGGCGGGCAGATCCTGGCGCAGGTGGAAGGGCTGCACCGCGGCGGCAAGTTCCAGGACGGGCAGCTGGTGCTTCGCAGAGCGGGGCCCGCCCGCCGCATCCGCGGAGACCAGGTCGCCTGGGTGGAGGGCCGGGAGCCCGGCTGCAGAGCCATCGGCGCTCTCATGGCCCGCCTGGACCAGCTCATCCTGCAGTGCGCCGGGAAGCTGGGCGGCTACGAGATCAGCGGCCGGACGAAGGTGAGCGAGCGCCAGGCTGGAAGGGCCGGTCCCCGGGCTCAACCCCACCCCCCAAGCCGGTCCCTCGGGCAGACGCGGAGGTTGGGGGGTCGGCCGGGGGATCTGCTCTCCGGTGATCCTGCGACCCCCGAGGGCGCTGGGTAGGCAGTCCAAGAGGAAGAAACCCCCCCGAAAGGCCTGGGTGCTTTTTGGCTCTGCCTTGAGCCTCTGCTTCCCGGGTTCGATATCCCCTCTCATTACCTGGGGAGAGACGGGCAGCTGTGGCCGATGGGGTGATGGGAGCAGCCATCCTGCATCTTTCCTGCTGTGGATTTCAGGGAAATAAGGGTCTCCAACCCCTCCCCCTCCCCCCCTGCCCCTTTGGAGACCTGTGGTTGGGCTGAGTCCTGGAGGAAAGGGGGGGAAGCGAGGGGGGCTGTGGGGCACATGGGTCAGGGTTAGGACAGAGCCTGGGCATGCTGCGTGGATTCCTGTCCTCAACTGGCTCTGTCCACCAGCACTCTCTGACTCAGAAGAGGGTCCCCCCTTTGCCAGCCCCAGAGGGACCCTGGCCCAAGAGCCCCTGTCCCTGAAGTGATAAGAGGAGCCTGGGAGCCCCTCAGGAACCAGCCCTGCCTTTGCCTCCTTTTGCGGCCTGGTCAGAAGGCTCCCTCAGTTGGCATCTCCTCCCCTCTGTCCTCGGGTGACCTTGCCAGGAACATCCATCACATGGCTGGCAGCAGCCCAGCTGGGAGGGAGCAGGTCCGGCCTCACCAGGACTGGATGTCCTCGGTGTTCCTGGACAGGCTGCTCCTGTCCTGCGTGGGGAGAGGTCCCTGCTGCAGCGCCTCTGGCTGCCCAAGGAAGAGGTGGGCTTGGGGGGCAGGGAGGGCAGATGCCTCTCGCAGTGGCCTTTCCCCCCCCCTCCCCCAGTGTTCAGATGAACCACAATTCATGATGAGGGCCCTCGCAAACAGCTCCTGCAAATAACTTTGCCTCTGAGCATATCTTGAGTCCAGCTTTTGTCCACCTTGGATTTGAAGGAGAAACCTCTCTGGTTAGGCAACGGAGTCTCTGTGTCTGTGTGGCTGGGGGTTTCCTCTTGTAGGGAATGCTAAAATAAAAGCCTCTGACCTTTGGAGATTAGCTGGGGATTAAAACTGCAACTTGGGCAGGAAGGGGGGGGGTGTTAATGTATTCTTAATAGGCTCCTCGCATTAGTTGTAACCCCTGAGGACGTATTCAGTGGGACCAAAGGGGGGGGGGGGGAAGGGGAGTCGCCTTAGGACCCCTTATGAAAACCCTTCCTTTTGAATCCAGGAGTGTGTTTGGGGCTAGAACTTACAGTTAAAGTCTTGCTCAAGATCACCGCACTTTGCAAACTGCCTTTTTTGTTTTCTTTTATTTTTGTTAATAAAATTCATTTCTTACCGATCCAAGTTTTTGTAAGGATTTATTTCCAACACTCTGAAAGGAGAGCATCTTGCCCGCCCTTGCCTCCTGTCTCTGGGGTGCCTGCAGGGAGGGTATGTGAGTCAAACAGCTCTGAGACCAGCAAGGCTTCAGGATTCGGCCTCGGCACCTGTTTGATGGTGGCGGAAGATTTGCTCTGCTTTGGAATGCTGGGAAGTGCCAGGGGGGTCCTTGGCTGTGAGGACCACCTGGAGGGGCGGGGGGGGGGCTTCTGCGGGCAGCCCTAGTGGACTTGCCAGCTGCTCACCCTCCCCTTCCCCTCCTCTCCTCCTGTCTCCCAGGCCATGGTGGCCTGTTACCCGGGCAATGGCCTGGGCTACGTGCGGCACGTGGACAATCCCCACGGAGACGGGCGCTGCGTCACGTGCATCTACTATCTCAACCGCAAGTGGGACAGCAAGGTAGGTGGCGGCAGGTGGGGCGCGTGAGGAGGGGGCTGCAACTCCTGGCTCTTGGTGGGCTTCGCGGGTTGCTCCCTTGACTTCCGAAGCAGCTCAGAGCACTTGGGAGCACGGCTGAGGCTCAGGTGGTGCTTCAGGTGAACGTAGGGAAGCCAAATCCTCACTCTTGGAAAGGGGGGGGGTTCCATGGCTTCTAGAAGGCTGTAAAGAGGAGGGGGGCTTGGGGGGGAAGGCCTGGGATCTTGGACAGAGGCCTTTTCGTGGCGACAGGATCGGGTGTCAGCCAAGCCCGGGACGAGGGGCTGCCCTTCCGATGCCCCCGGCCTCTGTGGCCAGCCTGAAGGGCCCTCCTTGGCCCCCTCTCCCCCAGGTGCACGGGGGCCTCCTGCAGATCTTCCCAGAGGGCCGCCCGGTGGTGGCCAACATCGATCCCATCTTTGACCGGCTGCTGATCTTCTGGTCCGACCAGCGCAACCCGCACCAAGTGAAGCCGGCCTTTGCCACCAGGTGACGGGGGCTGCTGGAGGGAAGGGCTGGGGGCAAGACCAGCGGGCCAATGAGCCATTTTGCCCCAGAATGACGTGTTGGCAATGGGGGGAGGAGCTAGATGGAGCACCTGCCCCATAGAGAGGAAGGCTTCGGAGACGGCTGCCCCCCAGGAAAGAGGCAGGGAAGTCCAGTGGCAGAACCCTCCAAGAGGCTGGAGGCTGGGATGCCAAGCCAGACTGGGGAGGCTTCTGGGCTGCTGCCGAGAAAGGCTGGGGCGGGGGGCTCTTTTGTGGGAGGGGCTGCCCTACTCAGGTCATGGGGGAAGTATTCTTGCGCCCTACCCATAGATGGCTCCCCATAGAGACACTCCCCCACCTCAGCCCCTCTCCCAGTCCCAGCTGCCTCCTGATCTGTTTTCTGCCCCCTGCCCAGGTATGCCATCACAGTCTGGTATTTCGACGCCAAGGAACGGGCCAGAGCCAAGGAGGCACACCAGCGGGGTAAGAGGGGAAGGGGGCTCCTTTGAGCAGAGGTGCCATGGGGATTGGAGTGGTCTGCTTGCAGCCCCCGCGGGGCTCTTCCTCTGGGAATAGCTAGCCCAGTTAGCTGTGGGGCAGGCCCTCAGACCCAGCTTTGGAAGCTCCATGGACTGCTGTCCAGAGGGGCTTGGCTGGTGGGAGCTGGCCAGGAGAGTCCGCCGGTGAGCAGCGAACAGAGGCTGCTGCTCCCTTGAGGGTCCTTCGGCTTTTGGGGGCCACTTCACAATCGGGGCTCCAAAGGCTACGACAGAGCAGGGAAAGGAGCAGGGAAAGGGGGGGGGAAAGGTGGGGGGGTGTCTCCTGGAGATGTGGGGCTCTGCTGAGAAGGAGGCTCTCCTGTAACTCCATCTCCCCCTCCCCCGCAGCTTCTGCTCAGAAGGAAGGAGCCTCTTCTGCGACAGGGGCTGACGGCCCCACGTGATGGATGGAAGACGTTGCCATGGGAACCTGACTGGCGAGGCCCGCCCCTCACTGGCCATCCCAGCTGCCTGCGGATGCTGCCAGTGCTTGGCTGGGAGGCCCCGATGCAGGGAGGGGGCCCCAGGGGAGAGAGGGGCCTCGGGTGCGAGGAGGAACCCTGGCCGTGTGTCTCTGTGGTGCACAGCTGTGCTCTGGCCAGTCTGTAAACGCAGCTCCACTTTGCACATGGGGTGCTATGGGGCACCCCCTGGCTGGCCCCTCCGGCTGCTGCCCGCATCACCCCTTTGCGGGTGAGGGGAGAGAGAGAGGACTGCGCAATAAAGATACCTCATTTGGAAACGCTCTCGGCTGATCTCTTGGGGAGGGGGCTTGGGGTTAGAGTGCCCCAGCTGCGCCCCCAAAACTGCTGTGCACCCAGGAGGCCCCATTGTTGGCCCTGTTCCCACGACAGGCGGCGGCAGTTAGGATCAGGTCAGCCTGGTTTGTTTCTGGTGGGCTTTTGCCTTGGTAAAGAAGACCCCCCCCCTTTCATGGGGTTGTGGGCTGTTCCTCTGAGCTCTCCTATCCTTCCTTGGGGGGGGGGGCTCAGTCTGGATTGTTGGAAAGAGTTCTCTGCCTTCTAGTCCTGGGAAGCCCCCAGAGGGTCCATGGGGAGGCCAGCGGGGGGGGGGGGGGGGGGGGGGGGG